ATGTATAATCTTTTTAATGAACAAGGTCATACCCTGGGGGCAATGGATAAACTGATCCCGTAGACTGATTCCTAGTCCAGGACATCAAGATTAAATAGTCATAGATCTAGAATGGAAGGAGACCTACATCATCTAGCACAACCCTTGACAGAAGAAATGACTGAGGTCTACAGAGATGAAGTGACATATAGTAACAGAGGCAGATTTCTAACCCAATTCAGTTCAACAAATATTTGGAGCCTCTGACTTTGAGTCTAATGGTCTTCCCACTGGTCTTCCCACTAAACCATATTGATTGAAGCCACAAGGTAGGTCCAGGAAGTAGGAAAGCCATTGTAAAAAGGTATGGTAGGGGGGCAGCTAGGTGGTGCAGTGGATAAAGCTCCAGTCTTGGAGTCAGGAGGACCTGAGTTCAAATCTGACCTCAGACATATAACACTTACTGGCTGTGTGACCCTGGGCAAGTCACTTAACCTCATTGCCCCCCCCCCAAAAAAAAGTATAGTAGTCAGGGGCAGGCTAGAATTTTGGTAGAAAATCTCAGCATTGTTAGAAAGGGCACCACGCTGGAAGTTCAAAGAACTGAGTCTGAACCTCAGTTCTGCCTCTAATTACCTGTGTAACCTTGGAGAAGTCAAGCCTGGTGCTCTGGGCTTCTGCTTCCTCATCTGTAAAATGAGGCAGTTGGGCTACATAGGACATCCTCTCAGGTCCTTTCCTACCCTGTTATTCTATGAGTCTATCATTGTAACCTCCAGACCATGTGGCCCTTGCCATCTGTCCAACTGATGGACTAACTCTTAGGACTTCTGGTCCTTGCCATTTGCCCTGCAGCTGAATTTTCTTCTGTGTTGTCTTCTGTGTTGCAATGTCCTTGAGAACAGAGATGGTCCCAACTTTTCTGTTTGTTTCCCCCTATGCTTAACAGATAGTAAGCATTTAATAAATGATTTTTCAATCATTTATTCAATCAGAGAACAGGTAGAGATCCCTATTGTACCTTGATTGATGCTGTTCCTGCATTTCCCTCTTCCATTTTCTCCACCTATTCAGATCCTATCTATCCTTCAAAGCTTAACTATGATCCCACTTCCTGGGTGAAGTCTTTCCAAGCTCACCCTACCCAACATTGTTCCTCCCCATCTCTGAATTCTATTTCCTGCTTCCTTCTGCTTGGAATCTTCTCTCTGCTTTCTCTATCCTTGGAGAAATTCTACCTGTCATTTGAAACCAACATTGTCCATGAAGCTATCTAATGACTCCCTTCTCAGACCTTTGGTTTTCAATTTATGGTGTATCAGTTCTATCTCCTTGACTAATTATGAGGTAGTGGAAGGAACACTGGATTTGGAGTCACAAGACTTGGATCTGAATCCAAACCAAGTGGTTTCTGCACCATTCAAGGTCTTCAAAAAAAAGCAGAGGCTGGATACTCATTCACTTGTTGCGGGGTGTTGTAGAGTGGGGATTCTTACGTAGGTGCAGGTTGGACTAGATGTCCTCTGAGGTCCCCGCCAGCCCTAGATGCCTGATCCTTGCAGAATTGTAGGGAATTGGAGAATATTCCACCCAATGATGGGTTGAAGGAAATGAGAACGTTCAAAGAGGAGACTTAGGTAGGGGCATGATAGTTGTCTTCAAGTATCTGAAGGGCTGCCATGTGAAAGAGGGGTCAGACTTTCTTTGGCCCCAAAGGACAGGAGTAGGAATGATGGGCAGAAGTTGAGGAAAGGCAGATTTAGGCTTGATGTGAAAAGCCACTTTCTCACAAATCAAGATGTCTTAAAGAAGAAAGGGCTGCTCAAGGATATTGTGAGTTCCTCATCACTGGAAGTCTTCAAATGGAGGCTGGGTGATGGCTTGTTGGGAATGTTATAGCCAGGCTGTAATGTCTTGTAATAGTGTGCCTGTAATCCCTGTTACTTAAGAGGTTGAGGTTTGCAGATCGTTTGAGTTCGGGAATTTTGAGCTGCGGTAGGGCTAACACCAAGTGGCTATCCATACTAAGTCCACTAATATGGTGATCCTCTGGGAATGGGAGCCATCAATCTGCCTTCAAAGGGGTGAACTAGATCAGGTTGGAAATGGAGCAGATCAAAGTTCCCATGTTGATCCATGGGGGGACTGGGTTGGCAAGAGGCTGCTCTACTTCTAGCCTGGGTGAGATAGGGAGACTCAGGGCACCTAGGTGGCACAGTGGATATAGCACCTACCCTATAGTCAGGAGGATGTGAGTTCAAATCCAACCTCAGAAATGTACTAGCTGTGTGACCTTGGGCAAGTCACTGAACCCTCCCCCCCGCAAAAAAACCCCAAAGAATATGATAGGAGAAATTTCTGTTCAAATACAGGTTGGACCAGATGGCCTTTAAGGTCCCCTCTAATTCTGAGTTTCTATAATTTTGTGATATGACCTAGGGTCATGTCCTGGCTCTAATACATACTGATGGTGCCACCCTGGGCCAATCATTTAATGATTTAATGCCCCAGGCAGCTCTCTATAGTAAGTGAGCGATGGGTTACACTAGTATTTGTGGAAGGAGTTTCTACCCTGGGAGTGTCATGAACCAGTGAAATCACAGCTGTAGAACTACAACGAACAAACCAAAAACTACCTATTGGACCTTGGAAAAGTCAACTCCTCCATTCTGGATCTCAATTTTCCCACATATAAAATGTAGCTTAAACTAAATTATATATACATATATATGTATGTGTGTGTATATATATATATGTGTGTGTGTGTGTGTGTATATGTACACACTTTATATATACAGATATATATACTCATGTGTAATGACTGCTATGTCCAGGAAGTTTGCGAAACTCTGGGAATGCAAAAGACAGTCCCTACCCTCAAGGAACTCCTAATTTACTGGATTATATATCATACTCTCTGTATGTATGTATATATACACATATGCATATGCATATTATGTTTATATATTATATACATATACTATGTGTGTATGCAGTATACATGCACATACATACACGTAGCTAGAATTGCTCAATTCTATACATACAGTACATAGCTATACACACATGTGCATATACACACATGTCTACACGTGTATGTATGTGTGCTCATTTTTAGCTCTAAATCTTTGGACACTTTTCAGAGGTGTTCAGTACTTCACATAGTAGGCTCTTGAAGTGTCTTTGCTGAGAAAGGTGATGGTGCCTAATGACTGAATCCCCAGGGACACAAGGTGATCCCTTTCTCCTTTTGGAACAACATCTTGCGGTTGTAGACAGAGCACAGCAGCTTCCCCTCCCAGGCCAGAGCCCCTCCACCTTCTCTGCTCCACTCCGCAAGCCCGTGTACCCCTACAGTGCAAGGCGTGCTGCTTGGGGGTGCTCTCAACTGTCTTCCTACACCACTCGTAACTTCCATGGGGGGAGACTAATTTTCACAGTCACAGAGTGGACTGAATTTTTTTTTAATAACCTTTTTCCCCCCAACTTTTGCAGAGAGATCTTAGCCCAAGACAAACACATTTCAAAACAGCTAGCTTCTGTGAGAGTCAAGTTACTCATTAACAGGAGGACAAATAGATCAACATTGACCTAGATTGCATATGCCTTTAGAATAGAGATCCTGTCAATTTCAGGCCCCTCCCTCTTAACTCCCCCCAACCCCATCCCGCCCCCCCAGGGAAAACAGGAATCAAATATTCTGTTGAACTGAAGGATGTAGGTATACTTTGTATACTTAGTCAAAACAACCCTCCTCTTCTCCAAATGTCATGGTAACCCATAAGAAGCAGAGCCCAGAAGGCAGAAAGATAGTTATTTGGTAACAACAACATTTTGTATTTGCTACAGTAAATAGACTTAGAATCATAGAACGTCTGGGATCTTTGAGAAGAGTTCAGTCAGTCCTCCCTGTCCCCCAACTCCCACCCCATTGTACATATGAGAAAACTGAGGCCCATTAAGGGAAGTAAGTGCCTTGCCTAATGCCACATAGTATTGGTGGCAGATCTGGAACTAGAACCAGAGTTTTCTAACAACCTCTGCCCCCAGCCCCACTGGGTTTTCTGGGGGCATCTTTCCCATCAAATTAAAAAAAAAAGAAGAAGAAAGTGATAATTTTCTAATTGACTGGCACAAAATGAGAAAATCAATTGCTTGAGGCCTCAGTTTCTCCCTCAGTCTGCCTTTTCTGAGAGTCCTCATGGGTCTGGGTTCTAGCCTCCAATTCAATGACTTTGCAAATAACAAATTCATCATTATTTGTGCCCCATAGAAGGCACTCAGGAAAAGCCACTGATGTGGCTAGTAGAAAGAGTTGGTCGTTCATAAAATAAATTGCTCAAACAACATTTTTTTATGATTCTTTTCTTTTTTTGGTCTACTCTGCGGTCAGTATTGCAAAAAGAGTCATCATTATGAATTAAGCTTTCAAGAAACATAATTATAAAATCTTCTATTTCTATCACACTTTGAAGTCTACAAAATACTTTTCTTACAATCCCATGAACTCGAGACTATAAGATATTTTTATTGCCATCTTATAGATGACGAAACTGAAACTCAGATAGGTGATGGCAAACTTTTAGAGTCACAGATTTTACAGTGGAGAGGGGTTAGAGATCATGTAATCCAACCTCTCTCATGTTGAAGATGAGGAAACTGAGACCCAGAAATGTTAAGAGGCTTCTACGGTCATTGGGTGGTAAGTAATAGAACTGAAATTTTGAACCCATATTCTCTGACTATGAGTCCGGGGCTGATAAAAACTTAGAAAGTCCTTTAATGAAGGAAGGTTTCCATTTTCTAATTAACTAATAAAAAAATTGCATGTACATACACATACATACACACATACATACATATATATTACACACATATACACACACACTTATCAGCCAAGAATTCTCTCTTGGAGAGACTCACAGACTACTTAAGTAGCTGGACCAACTGAAAATACAAATTCATCTTCCCAAGTATTGCTATTAGAGCAAAAACCAGGGAGAACTCAACCGGTCACTCACCTGAGTTTGTGGGTAGCACCCGCAGGTTCTCAAACTCTAACATGGTGTAAGAAGAGTCCAGCGACACACTATAATCTGGCATATCCATATCCATTATGGTTTCGTGAAGCTTCATGATCACCTGTCAAGAGTCAGGGCTGAGACCACAACAGCCTGGTATCAATCACAGCCAAGGGCTAGTCAGGAGAAAACGCTGGCCTTAGGCCTCCCAAATGACAAATCATTATCTAGCTCCCTCCCTTCTCCTGGCCTGACCTCCCCTCCCCTCCTAGAATGAGGCTGGATGGAAGACAAGCCTGATAGTTTCTCTTTCTATCTTCCTAGCTCATTCTACCTGGGTATCGGTGTCTCCTTGGGATTGTGTGATGCTGATACAACTTGGGTTGTATCCTTGGTTCAAAACAATGCGCTTTACGATCGAGCTCTAAAGGAACGGCCCTTGGCCCCATAGTGTGCGGGCAGATAAACCTAGGCTGTCTCTCCTCTGTCAGATCATCCTTTTGGGGCAGTCAAGCTGGTGGGTGTTGGGGGAAGAATTTGAGGGGGGTAACATTGGTTTTTACTTCTGTACTCCTGGGGCTTTTGACTCTCCTCCTGCTGAATTTGTCAATCAGCTTTGTCATAAGTCGCATCAGAAGTTAAATTACTTCACTGGTACTATGAAAGTTTCAAAATGCTAGTCCGTATTCTTATGTAACATTACTGTTGATAGGCTAATTGGTATAATTCTGAGATGGATATGACAGAGCCTTTCCTTTCCCCCTTTATATATATATATATATATATATATTTTTTTTTTGGTGAGGCAGTTGGGGTTAAATGACTTGTCCAGAGTCACACAGCTAGTGATTGTTATGTGTCTGAGATCAGATTTGAACTCAGGTCCTCCTGACTCCAGGGCCAGTACTCCATCCACTGTGCCACCTAGCTGCCCCTGTCATAGAATATTTTTAAAAAATCCATAGGAACCTTAGGTGTCAGAGCTAGAAAAGATTTTGGTGATCATTTAATCTGATCTCTCTCTCTCTCTCTCTCTTTCTCTGTCTTCTGTTATATCTATCTATCTATCTGCAGTGAGGTGGCACAGTAGCTAGAGCATCAGGCCTGGATTTAGGAAGACTCGTCTTCCCAAGTTCAAATCTGGCCTCAGACATTTACTAGCTGTGTGACCCTGGGCAAGTCATGTCACCCTGTTTGCCTCTATTTCTTCACTTGCAAAATGAGCTGGAGAAATAAATGGCAAACCACTCCAGTATTTTTGCTAAGAAAATTCTCCAAAATGGAGTCGTGAAGAGTTGGACATGACTGAAATGACAAAAGAAGGAGAAGAAGAAGAAGAAGAAGAAGAAGAAGAAGAAGAAGAAGAAGAAGAATGATGATGACAATAACACAACCACAACCACAACAACACAACCACAACCACAATAACGCAATAACACAACAACACACATATCAGAGAGAAGATTCAAACCCTCTTCCTGGTCTTGACTGTTCTGATCCTCTGACTCCAAATCTATAGAATGGTACAGTAAAAAGAGTCTTGAATTTGGATATTATATATATATATATATACATACATATACATATATGTACTAGTCATGTTGGGATAGGGTCTGAAAAAATGATGAAAACAAAATGACTCCAATGAATCTGTGAACTTCTTAATATACATAGTCCCGCCAGTAATGCAGACTGCCACCCACTCATGCTTGCTCACCCTGTTTAATTCCTGTTCACATCTAACCATGAGTTTGCCATAGGGGATCCCTTAACTTGCTGGGCTCTGCTCCAAGTTCAGATACCAAACCAGCCAACCCACCCACCCACCCGCAGGGGCCATCCTACAGTTATTTCTAATGTGACCGACCCTTCTTTTTCAATCCTACATTTTCTTGGTCATATCCTTACCACCTGTCCTCCTTCCCACTTTCTTCTTTGGAGTATATGGCAGCCCGCTCCTGAGCCACAAGCCTCTGCATCGGTTTGGGGATGGTCCTTAGCTTCAGTTCTCCAGAGACCGTGCTGGTCCATGACTTACAGCCAGGCACAGTCAGCAGAACAACATTGGCTTGCAAAAGCGCCACACAGTGTTTATAACAGTTTAGTGAGGTCAGAGGTGGGCTTAAAGGGGCAACGTGACAAAGTGAAAAGAGTACTAGACTTAAAGCCAAAGGACCTGGGTTTAAATCCTGTTATTACATGTGTAACTTGGAGCAAGCCTTATTATCTTCCTCCTCAAGGAGTCTTGATGTTAGATGGCCTCTGCGAAGGTCCCTTCCAGCTTTAATAATAATAATAGTAACAACAACTATAATAATAGTTAGTATTATATAACACTTTGAGGTTTGCAAAACACTTTATAATTATGATCTCATTTGACTCTTACCACAACCCAGGGAGATAGATGCTATTATTCTTGTTTTACATATGAGGAAACTGAGGCAGACAGCAGTGAAGTCACTTGCTCAGGGTCAGCCAGCTAGTAAGTGCCTGAGGCTGGATTTGAACTCAGGTCTTCCTGACTCCAGGCCCAGAGCTCTATCTACCACAACTATGATGATTATGATTTTTGTTCAGTTGTTTTCAGTCGTGTCTGACTTTTTGTGACCCCATTTGGGGGTTTTCTTGACAGAGATACTGGAGTGGTTTGCCATTTCCTTCTCCAGCTCATTTTACAGATGAGGAAACTGAGGCAAACAGTTAAGTGACTTGCCCAGGATCACACAGCTAGTAAGTGTCTGAGGCTGGATTTGAATTCAGGTCTTCCCGACTCCAGGCTCAGTGCTCTATCCATTGGCCAACTAGCTGATGGTTGAAATACCAGTTCGTTTGTTTTTTACTCTTGGGCTGCTGCTTATCTAAGTAGTGGTTAAGACAAATTTGTAAGCATTTCCAGTGTGGCAACTCTTGTTTTCTTGCTCCTCTTTGATTATTCTGGGGAACAAATACATTGCTCCAGGATGAAGATGGGCATTCTCATTTAGAGGTGAAATGACTTGCCCATGGTCACAAAATTAGGAAGTGACTGATTCAGGATTTGAACTCAGGTCTTCCAAGTCCATATTAAGCACTTTCACCAAACCATTCTGTAGATTTGTATTCAAAGACCCTGGGTTGGAATCTTCTCTCCACTACTTTGTATTCTCTGCACCTGCTATTTTGAATTTTCCCTGTTGCTTTAGGCAAATCAATAAAACTCTCAGAGTCTCAGCTTCCTCCTTTATCAAATGAGAGGCCTGGGCAAAACCATGACTAAGGTGCCTTCTAGCTCTAAATTTTAGGAGCCAAAGACTTTGGGAGAAGCAGCTTATATATTACAACTTGGGGTTCACTGGAAGCAAACTTATTAAGCAGATAAAGCAGAAAGAAGGGAAGATATTTGTTAGACAGAAGCAAAGGACTGCGAAAAGTAGAAGCTGGAAAAATGGAACCCTGCCCTCTCTCCCCCGGCATAATGATGAAATCTCATAATTAAATTCTTAATACTTGTCCTTGTGTTCCCAGAGTCTCGCATACACCAGGTATGTGTTGTTGTTACAGCTCAGTTGTTGTTCAGTCATGTCTGACTCTTTGTGACCCCATTTTTGGGGGAGGGGTTTCTTGGCAAAGACACTGGAGTGGTTTGCCATTTCCTTCTCCGGCTCATTTTACAGATGAGGAAAATGAGGCAAACAGAGTGAAGTGATTTGCCCAGGGTCACACAGCTAGGAAGTGTCTCAGGCTGGATTTGAACTCAGGTCTTCCTGACTCCATGCCCAGTATTCTATCCACTATACCACCTAGCTGCACTGGGTACACAACAGGTGCTAAATATATGCTTATAATTAGGCTAACTTTATACAAGTATCTATCCCCTCTCCCTTCCCGAGACCCTTGTGACCAACGACCACATTCAGGGAGTTGCATTATTGGCCCCTGGCTAGGAAGCAAATAATCGTTCCAATTTCTTGAATGTATTGAATGTATGAAATGCTTTTCTCAGAGCAACCCCATGAGGTTGGGAGTATATGTTATTATCCCTATTCACAGATGAGGAAACTGAGACTCAGGTTAACATTATTTACAGAATGCTATGCTTTGTATTTATTAACTCATTTAATCTTTTTTTTTGCACTTAATAGTTTTTTTCAAATTACACGTAAAGAAAGTTTTCAACATTCATTTTTGTAAGACTTCGAGTTCCAAATTTTTCTCCCTCCTTTCCTCCCTTTTCCCCCTCCTCAAGACAGTGAACAATCTGATACATTATCATGTACAATCATGTTAAACATATTTTCACATTAGTCATGTTGGGAAAAAAGAATCGGAACAGAAGGGAAAAACCAGGAGAAAGAAAAACAAAACAAAACAAAAAAATAGAGTGAAAATAGCATGTTTCGATCTGCGTTCAGACCCCGTACTTCTTTCTCTGGATGGGGATAGCATTTTCCACCATACATCTTTTGGAATTGTCTTGGATCATTGTATTGCTGTAACTCATTTGATCTTAATAACAATTCTGTGAAATGGGTGCTATCATTACTCCTATTTTATTGGTGAAGAAACTAAGCCTCGAGAGATGTTAAATATCTTGCCCAGGATCACATAACTAGTTAGGTGTCCAAAGCAGGATTTGAATTCAGGACTTCCTGACTGGGAATCTAGCACTCTGCACCTGAGGAATAGCAGAATGGGCAAATGACTTGCTCATGGTCATAAGCAGCAAGTGGCAGAGTCTGGATTTTAACCCATGTCTTCCGCCTAAAAGTCATGGTTTTTCCCCTTACAATTGCTGGGGATTGAACCCATGATTTTGTCTCCAGTAATACAGTGTTCTAGGCCCCCGGCAATATCAATTTCCATAGAGACCAGCCCCAGTTCTGGCTCTGCCATGAACAATTCAGAAGCTTCCTTGGTGAGATAAGAATTTATGCTCTGGACTCTGCCCCGAGGCTTTCAGCAGTACCAACCCCATTCATCTCTTCATCTGATTGTGAACCCTGACGTCACCAGGGCGATACTTGGGGCTTCGTTGATACAAAGCTCATTGGTCCCATTTCTGAGAAGTGCCTAAGGAAAGCTGACACAGGACGTGTGGCAACCCATCTTCACAGCCTTGACATGCTGGAGGAGCAGGAAACCACTGCTCTTATTCACAGCAC